TACATAGGATCGCTATGAGTCGCAAGCGACTCAACAGCACATAACAACAACAACAACATAGCGTACAAAGCCTGCATCCTAGTGCAGTGTCTAGGTTCTTAGCAGCTTGCAAGCAGCTAACCAATCCAACTGCTGATTCCTACTTGCAAAATAGAAAGAGGGAAAGCAATGTATCAGAGAAGAAACTAGTCTACACAAGCCAAAACCTCATTGACCTGAGACCAGAATCACTGGATGGATGTTCTGATCAGGGATCTGACAAACTGGGACAAAATATGGAAAAGAAATGTTAATGAGTCCAGACTTATTAAACCACTTAGACTAGAGGATTCTTTGAGACCATCACCCTGAAATATTCTTTAAACCGGGAATCAAAACTATCCAAAGGTCGTCTTTAACAAGAACAGACTGGCATGCAAAAAAAAAAAAGAAAGAAAGAAAGGATATTACGCATCAGAACAGTGCTCCATTAAAAAGCCTTCAAAATATCCACTGACTGATGTATGAGGTGCAGATCCACAATGAAGCCTTTGTACAACATATGCAACCTGGGTGAAGCTGCAAGACATGCTGAGTGAAATAAGACAATCTCAAAATGACAAATATTGCCTGATTCATGTATGTGAAAAAAGTGTAACCGTAGAGAGAACAAACCTTATCAGTGGTTACCAAAGATAAACCAAAAGAGGAAAATTATAGAACATAAATTTCAAATTCTCATGGAATCCAGGACTTCCTGAAGCCATGAAAGTTGGTTGAACCCTTCAAATTATTACCCCGAGATAATCTTAAATCTTAGTGATTAAAAAGCTGTGCTGCAATTCCAAAGGCACATGATTCAAACTCACCAGCTACTCTGTAGGAGGATGGGTAATCTCTTTCCTTGCAATTCACTGCCTCTGAAAACCCACTGGAGGGTCAGCTCTGAGCCAGCTTCAACTTTGCAGCACACTTTAAAGCTTCAGGGAGCTTTGGTGGCTTGTTATTATGTGCCATCAAGTCGCCTGTGACTCATAACAATCCTATGTACAACAGATCTGAAGCTTGCCCTGTTCTGGGCCAGTCTCACTGACTCTGATACAGCTATCCCCATTGCCCTCGTTACTGTTATCAATCCATCTTATCCAGGGTCTTCCTCTCCTGCACTGTCCCTCCACCCTTCTGAACATGATGTCCTTCTCCATGGACTGGTCCCTCTTGGCCACATGTCAAAAGATGTAAGACAGAGCTTCAAAATCCTAGCCTCCAGGGAAAAACTTGGTTTCAACCTCTCCAAGATAGACCTATATGCTTTCTTGGTGGTCCATGGCATGTTTAAAATTGTGCTGCCAATTTAAAGGCATGTGATTAAAATTTGTGAGCTTCTCTGTGGAAGGAAGATAGGCAAAGTCATCCTGGCCAATTTACAGCCTCTGAAAACTTACTGAGGGTCAGCTATGAGGCAGTTCTGACTCAATGGTACGTAACAAACAAAAATATTTCCTTAGGGTCTGCTAATTGAAAGATAGATGGTTCAAGTCCACCAACCAGCTACAGAAATCTGATGGAAGGTGACCATTAGTTGGAATTAGTTTTTCAAAAATTTCTCTCTTTTTTAAAAATTTTTATTTTATTATTTTTACGTGTACCGTCAAATCAGATCTGACTGGTACAGGAGGAGATTGCACCCTCCTTCTCCAGCAGAGCATCTGGTGGATTTGAACCGCGTACCTCTGGGATTGCAGTGCAGCGTCTTGCCACTAGTCCACCAGAGCGCCCTAAAAGTTTTCTTAAGACTAAATAATAGTCTAACTAGTAAACAAATATTTGCTCTGAGTATAAGCCAGAATCTATATGGGATCAAAATGGCAAGAGCAATTAAAAAAAAAATTAGCAATATTAGAGTATGAATTTACATTAATGAGGGATGAATATCACAATAAGAGAGGTGAAATGAGTAACAGAGTTTAATAAATGTCAGCAACGTCACTAAACAGTACATATAAAAATTGTAGAATTGGGTATGTTTCCGTGCATGCTCTCAGCAACAGCAAAATAAATAAAACTACATTTTAAAAAAGGAAAAAAGAGATCCATGAGACCAAAAGATCTGCAAATATTCTAAAGCACAGATAAAGAGTGACAGAGAAATTGAGGTACTAGAAATGGAATAGCTATAAATGCAATAAGAGAAAATAAGTGTTGACATGTTTTTTAAAAACATAAGTAAATGTAAGTAAGCAATTTGTGTAGAAATTGTCAAAGGAGATTGTAATAATTTGTAATAACTTTTGTGGCAAAACTTTTTAAAATAGTTATAAATACTTGTTTTTGCTTAACATTTATTGGACAAAATTATTAATACTACCTTTTCATGCATGCATTCCAACAACTACATCTTATGATTTAAAAAGAAAACCAAAAATTAACAACTACCAGACTGAGGAATATAGGTATGTTGAATAATTTGGACTGTGTCTTTTGTTTTGTCTGAGGTAAAAAGAAAAAATTCACATAGTACCACTTAATACTTTCTTTGTTTTCTGCTTTCTGAAACTAAGTTTAAAATATAATGGTACCTATAAAATAACAAAAGCCTTAATAGATACAAAAGGAAGGTATTATAACATGGAACAAAGAGAAGTTAACAGAGTATAGCTGGCCTTAGAACTGAAAACACTGGACCACTTGGCCAACAGGCCTTTCTTCAATGTGGTTCAATAAGAACATCAAACGTGCTTTTAGAGGTGATGATGGTGAAACTTCATTTTACATGTTCATTTTACATTCAACATGTTATCAGGAGGGGCTAGTCTCTGGAGAAGACATTATGCTTGGTAAAGTGAAGAGTCACAGGAGTAAAGGAAGACCCTCAATGAGATGTATGGACACAGTGGCTGAGACAATGGGCTTAAGCTCAACAGTAATGTGAGGAAGGGGCAGAACCAGAAAATGCTTCATTCTGTTGTAAAAAGGTCTCCATGTGAAGTCAACTCAAAGTAACAAAAACAATAACATTTCTAGTTTGGCATTTCCCAGTCAGCCAAAAATGCGGATTCTATTTTGAAGACACGAGAACTGTATCTACGTTTACTAAAAGGTGGACTGGTTTTCTAAAGTAGCATTAACTCATCCTTTTAGTGAAGGGTAAAGGGGTCTTCCACTCTTGGAAAGTTGTGAAGGAATAAAAATGGTGGGGAGAAAGGATATATAATCTTGTATTCTTTGCAGAAGATGAATCTTGAGCTCAAAAAGCAATGTGTTAGCTGGTTTTGAGTTTTCTCTCCCCTACTATATGAGTAGGTGAAACTGAAGCCAAATCAAGTTTTAGCTACCACAAAACCACAGTTAGGACCAGTGGATGCCGGCACTGGGGTTGAATGTGATTACCTCATACTATCTGCTGGTTAAGAGTTCAAGTGAGAAATTACAGGTAAAAGAAATCCAAAATTTAGAAGAAGGAAGAAAAGAAAACGGGGGGGAGGGGCGTAGAATAGAGACTGGTAGGAAGGAAAGGAAAATAGACTGGGAGAATTGTAAATGAAGATGTACAAAAGAAAGGAGGAGAAAAACCGAAACCAAACTCCCTGCCATCAAGTTGATTCCTACTCACGACTACAGGGCACAGCAGAACTGCATTACCGTGTTTCAAGACAAAAAACTTTAGCGAAAGAGACTGCCACTTCTTTCTCCCCCAGAGCAGATGGTAGGCTCAAATCGGCTAAGCATTTAAACCACTGCTCTGCCGTGGCTCCTTGGTGAAGGAAAGGCATCAGCAAAAATGTTTGCTCGTATAAGGATAAATACGACATAAGACCATTATTGTAAAAATAGAAGGATAACTAGTAATACATGTATGGGGACCCAAGGGGGAGAGGTGGGAACAGAGGTGTGAAGATTGGGAGGGGTGAAATCACAGAGCTACACAACTTGGTGAGTGGGAGTAGGGGGTAAAGGAAATGGAAAAGATCTGTCAGGGACCTGAAAAGACAAGGTAATGGTGGGCATCATCCAATGGTCATGAATTTTAAAAAAACCTAATGAATGAGAATGACCATATGAAACACAATGTGAATGAAGAATAGTGTGAAACACAATATACATGAACTTTGTAACCAAACCAATATAAAATAAAAATTGAAAGAACAAAGAAGGTTTCTCATAAAAGGAAACTGTTAATGCTAACAATACACAATTCCTGGTAGAGCCTTTATAACACTACACCCTGGGTGCTTTCACTGAGCCAATGATTCCATCTGGAAGCTTCCGGTGAAGGTACATACCAGTTCTTGTTCCATTTGTGTGCAAACTCCACGAGCAGGAGAAGTTGGATGCCTATAAAGATGAAGGCTCCTATGGCTCCCACATAGCGCCAGGCTGCAGAAGATCAACAAAAAAGTGAGTGGGGCAGTGAACCATACCTTCACCTCAGAACAGAGAAAACAACTATGCCCTGTAACACATTTAACTCCTGCACAACCACCTAAGTGGGGACTAAGAAATAACAAGCTCTCCCGGGCCTCTTCTGACCTGGCTGGTGAAGTCAAGCTGACATGCCAGACAGGTTTTCAAACAAACATTAAGTGCTTCATCTTCCCTAAGGTCAATAACCTTACAATTATCATTTCAATCCTTCAGCCAGTAGGGTGACAAAAGGCCCTCTAACATCC